CGGGCGAAAAATCAAGTTTCTCCAATCTTCTCAAAACTCTGGATTATGATAGAGGGCCGCGAGACTTTGACCTGAGCGCAAAAATGGAGGCTCTAGACCCTTCCAGAGCTGAGATATCGAAACTCAAAATTTCGACCCGAAAAAAAAACGACAGTGTTACCCCTTACGTTTTTTTTCGTTTTTCGGGCGAAAAATCAAGTTTCTCCAATCTTCTCAAAACTCTGGATTATGATAGAGGGCCGCGAGACTTTGACCTGAGCGCAAAAATGGAGGCTCTAGACCCTTCCAGAGCTGAGATATCGAAACTCAAAATTTCGACCCGAAAAAAAAACGACAGTGTTACCCCTTTCGTTTTTTTTCATTTTCGGGCGAAAAATTAAGTTTCTCCAATCTTCTCAAAACTCTGGATTCTGATAGAGGGCCGCGAGACTTTGACCTGAGTGCAAAAATGGAGGCTCTAGACCCTTCCAGAGCTGAGATATCGAAACTCAAAATTTCGACCCGAAAAAAAAACGACAGTGTTACCCCTTTCGTTTTTTTTCATTTTGGGCGAAAAATTAAGTTTCTCCAATCTTCTCAAAACTCTGGATTATGATAGAGGGCTGAGAGACTTTGACCTGAGTGCAAAAATGGAGGCTCTAGACCCTTCCAGAGCTGAGATATCGAAACTCAAAATTTCGACCCGAAAAAAAAAACGACAGTGTTACCCCTTACGTTTTTTTTCGTTTTTGGGCGAAAAATTAAGTTTCTCCAATCTTCTCAAAACTCTGGATTATGATAGAGGGCCGTGAGACTTTGACCTGAGTGCAAAAATGGAGGCTCTAGACCCTTCCAGAGCTGAGATATCGAAACTCAAAATTTCGACCCGAAAAAAAAAACGACAGTGTTACCCCTTACGTTTTTTTTTCGTTTTTGGGCGAAAAATTAAGTTTCTCCAATCTTCTCAAAACTCTGGATTATGATAGAGGGCCGCGAGACTTTGACCTGAGTGCAAAAATGGAGGCTCTAGACCCTTCCAGAGCTGAGATATCGAAACTCAAAATTTCGACCCGAAAAAAAAACGACAGTGTTACCCCTTACGTTTTTTTCATTTTGGGCGAAAAATTAAGTTTCTCCAATCTTCTCAAAACTCTGGATTATGATAGAGGGCCGTGAGACTTTGACCTGAGTGCAAAAATGGAGGCTCTAGACCCTTCCAGAGCTGAGATATCGAAACTCAAAATTTCGACCCGAAAAAAAAACGACAGTGTTACCCCTTACGTTTTTTTTCGTTTTCGGCGAAAAATTAAGTTTCTCCAATCTTCTCAAAACTCTGGATTATGATAGAGGGCCGTGAGACTTTGACCTGAGTGCAAAAATGGAGGCTCTAGACCCTTCCAGAGCTGAGATATCGAAACTCAAAATTTCGACCCGAAAAAAAAACGACAGTGTTACCCCTTACGTTTTTTTTTTTCGGGCGAAAAATTAAGTTTCTCCAATCTTCTCAAAACTCTGGATTATGATAGAGGGCCGTGAGAATTTGACCTGAGTGCAAAAATGGAGGCTCTAGACCCTTCTAGAGCTGAGATATCGAAACTCAAAATTTCGACCCGAAAAAAAAACGACAGTGTTACCCCTTTCGTTTTTTTTTTTTTTTTCGGGGCAAAAAATTAAGTTTCTCCAATCTTCTCAAAACTCTGGATTATGATAGAGGGCCGTGAGACTTTGACCTGAGTGCAAAAATGGAGGCTCTAGACCCTTCTAGAGCTGAGATATCGAAACTCAAAATTTCGACCCGGAAAAAAAACGACAGTGTTACCCCTTTCGTTTTTTTTCATTTTCGGGCGAAAAATTAAGTTTCTTCAATCTTCTCAAAACTCTGGATTATGATAGAGGGCCGTGAGACTTTGACCTGAGTGCAAAAATGGAGGCTCTAGACCCTTCCAGAGCTGAGATATCGAAACTCAAAATTTCGACCCGAAAAAAAAACGACAGTGTTACCCCTTACGTTTTTTTTTTCGTTTTTGGCGAAAAATTAAGTTTCTCCAATCTTCTCAAAACTCTGGATTCTGATAGAGGGCTGTGAGACTTTGACCTGAGTGCAAAAATGGAGGCTCTAGACCCTTCCAGAGCTGAGATATCGAAATTCAAAATTTCGACCCGAAAAAAAACGACAGTGTTACCCCTTTCGTTTTTTTTTCATTTTGGCGAAAAATTAAGTTTCTCCAATCTTCTCAAAACTCTGGATTATGATAGAGGGCCTGAGACTTTGACCTGAGTGCAAAAATGGAGGCTCTAGACCCTTCCAGAGCTGAGATATCGAAATTCAAAATTTCGACCCGAAAAAAAAAACGACAGTGTTACCCCTTTCGTTTTTTTTCATTTTTTGGGCGAAAAATTAAGTTTCTCCAATCTTCTCAAAACTCTGGATTATGATAGAGGGGCGTGAGACTTTGACCTGAGTGCAAAAATGGAGGCTCTAGACCCTTCCAGAGCTGAGATATCGAAATTCAAAATTTCGACCCGAAAAAAAAACGACAGTGTTACCCCTTTCGTTTTTCATTTTTGGGCGAAAAATTAAGTTTCTCCAATCTTCTCAAAACTCTGGATTATGATAGAGGGGCGTGAGACTTTGACCTGAGTGCAAAAATGGAGGCTCTAGACCCTTCCAGAGCTGAGATATCGAAATTCAAAATTTCGACCCGAAAAAAAAAACGACAGTGTTACCCCTTTCGTTTTTTTTTCATTTTCGGGCGAAAAATTAAGTTTCTCCAATCTTCTCAAAACTCTGGATTATGATAGAGGGCTGTGAGACTTTGACCTGAGTGCAAAAATGGAGGCTCTAGACCCTTCCAGAGCTGAGATATCGAAATTCAAAATTTCGACCCGAAAAAAAAACGACAGTGTTACCCCTTTCGTTTTTTTTCATTTTCGGGGCGAAAAATTAAGTTTCTCCAATCTTCTCAAAACTCTGGATTATGATAGA